GTGTATAGATAATGGATGGATATTGAATGAATATGCTGTCAAATTTTCTACAGACATTAATGATCGTGAGAGGATGAATCCCAACCTCTTTAAATTTTTCTTTAGTACAACATGAAGCTGACATTTGTGGTTTTGAGTAAAATGTTTCAACAACGTCGAATGATTTCCATGAAATTAGGTTGGGACATCAATGCCCTGCTTGGAATAAACTTTGTTGATCCTCTTCAAGTGCCATGCAGGTCAAAAGTTACATTTGTCCAATCCTTGGGTTTATGGTGAGATAGCTGCAAAACCCAAGACATTCTCTGATCAACTTTGCGTTTAACACTAATTAGTAAACTGTTGTTAACGTGCTGGTACTTTGTCAATAGAACATTTTAAAGTAAGTTAAAGGGGTTTAAATCACAGCTGCGTGTTAAACTGGCCTCGACTGCAGAGTCAGAACGAGCACTGGTTCAGGTGAAGCGAAGCTAAACTCTGTGTGTGTGAGTCACCCAGTACAACTGTCACACAGCCTCATTATCACGTAGTGTACTGGGAGTCTCTCGTGTTTTATCAGAATGTTGTTGGACAAGGAGTTATTGCTGTGATGTTATCTGTGCCGTCCCTGGTGTTACTATGATCTGTATTGTGTTCTGCAGTGTCCTGGTGTTGTTCTCATCTCCACAGTATTGTACAATTAGTCAATACGAGTGAATGATTACGACGTAATTATGATGCACAGTTAATGAAAATGTCATTCCTGACAGTTATCTGGTGATTCCAGGCAACACTGACAGAGAATTGAGGGAAGCGAATCACCTTGAGGATGTTTTTCTCATCTTGACACAGCATGTGGTAGTTAATATTATTGTCCTTATGACAGCTGAGTATCACCAGTAGGCAATATTGTTTTATATATAATTAAATCAACTGTACATAAAATAGAACATTTGTGCTGCCTTTTAACCTCTTACAGCATTAAGTCAGATGTAGGCTACTGTGTTCATTTATACCAAGGCTTGTACATTTCTGGCAGACTGACCACATGTCCTCTCTGCAGCCAACAGATATGTGACAACGCATTAATTAACAACTTTGTAATGTTCTTATGCTTGTCTGTGACAGCAGGGACAGTGGCAGGAGTTCTGGTGATCTTTATCGGCCACAGAAAGTCAAGGGTTGCAGTTTAAACTGCAGCTTTTGTAAACACAGCAACAGATCACATGACTCTGACCCATAAAACACAATTCAACACAATGTAAATCCATCCTACACCTTAAACTGTAGCTCATCCAGTAAGGCAGCAACATCTCCAAGCATGTTGGCGTTTATTGTGTAAGAATGTGCTGTTGCTATTTATTTACTTTCTATTAAGTGTTATACCTCTCTGTAAGTGGTCCTCTGCAAGTATTTTAAGATTCTTTCCTTACTGGAGAAAAAAAAGTAACCTTGACCTTTGGTAATGCCTTCAAACTATACTCTTAGTGGGAAATCAATTTATGTGGGGAATTAATTGTGTGTTGCTTGGAGTTGTTGTCAAACTGCATAGACACCACAGTTAGGCAGTAAAGGGACCTTTGTGGTCATTAGTGATTTTTTTTAATGCTCAGTCTCTCTCCTGCACTTCTCTGTCAGTCTCATATTTCTCCCTTGTAAAATAAAGAGCCCGACGCCCAACTATACCACCGATCTCATTAAAAGGCATACTATTAAGCTGTGTTTTGTGGAAGTTAACTATCATCACCTTGTCGGGGTCCTGTCTCGTCTCGTCTCTGTGTGCACTTCCTTGTATTTTCTACAGCTGGGTTATGACCATTTTCCTGGGTATTGGTTTTGTCCTTGAAGAGTAAATAAATATAATAACAGATCTTTACCCTCAGAGGTGCAGAGATGTTTCATATCTTCACTAAGGATTTCAAAATTGCATTTTGAGAGATTGATAGTGGACCTCTGGATTGTGTGATAATGATCAGATGTTGTATTTGGAGATCAGAGAAATTAATTCATTCTCTTTTCATTCTAGTATTTGACCACAGTGCTGTTATCACCTTTTTAACAATAGCAGATGGATAACACAGACAATAACCCACTCTCTGTCTTATCTGGCAGAGTGACCTGCTGAACCTGAACATTCACACTCTCTGCTCTTTCATTTTTTAATCTGGTGCTGCGGCATCTGTTCTGTTTAAACTCCTACTGCACCTCACTCTTTCCCCTGCTTAGCCTCTTATGCCTTTGTTTTAACTCCCATCACTGTATCCCCTCTTTCTCTCCAGCCTCCATCCCTCTCATTACGCTTTCAGGTGATATGGTGCTTGGCTGCTGGTATTTTTTTTGATTGAGTTTCCTTCTTTAGGTTTTCATCATTCATATTCCACCCCCACTGTGTGCTTTCAGTCCTCTATAAACTTTGTCCACCCACAGCCACCGGTCTGTTTATGACCTAAAATTAAATTTCCTCCTTTGGCAATATTTTTCCAGGAAAATGGCAAAAGCCACCCAGTGTATTCTCGAAACACTTAAAGTGAATATATCCTGTTTCTCCTTCCATCACTTACACACTAATTATAAAGTTGGCTACAAATAGGCGTCCATAATATCTAGATGCAAGGCACTTTAACAGGACTTCTTCTTCTGTGGATCTTAGCAGGTTTGGTTGCACTTGTGAGCATATTAGTATGTAAACACACAGAAGATGGTGAACGTGGTAGTTACACTTGCTATACGTCAGCATTTTACCATCGTCATTTGAGCGTATTATTCCCAAAACCACTACCTGTGTACCAACCTGCATCAGATTTTTGCCAGGTGTCACATATCGTGGGAGAATTATGAGGGTGGGGGAATGTTTGTGTTTTTGCATTTGCGAGTTAAATGCTTGTGTCTGTGTTTGTTTTTGCTTTGTTTTTTTCCACTGCATATGAGTGCGTGAGAATGGAGATTTTGGTGTTATGAAACTTTTGAAACCACACACACACGCACACACACACACACACACACACACACACACACACTTCTGCCTTTGAACAAAACACCAACAGAACAATACTCCCTGTGGTTGTCATGGAAATGACAGATGTGACAACCGGAGGGAAGACTTCCATTGAGTATTATGGTGTGTTTGGAGTTTGTTGTGTGACAAGTAGAGCGTCACCTAATCTCCTGCCTGTTTACTGCTTGTTTCCACAGACCTATCTCCTGGGAATCATCATCTCTATATGTGGGAATGTCCTCATCAGCATTTCACTCAACATACAGGTAGGAAACACTGGAATCCAGCTGTACGACAGATTTTATGCACACAGGGGGCTGTTATACCTGTAAAGACTGATTTTTCCACTCTTTAAGCACTGTTAGACTTCCTTTCTCCTTACAGCAAACACTCAGTGCAGCACAAATTACTGCATCCCATGGCAGTGAAGCCTGTCTGAGTTCAGATGAATAGAAGTGGATGTTTAAACTTTGGAATTTAATTTCAATTTGATATTATGACCAGCAATACATTTTTCAATTAAGTCTGTTCCTGATTGCACCTTTAATAATGCTCCCCTGATTTTTTTATCAACACCATTTCAAGTGAAGTGTTAGCTCTTTTTGAGCTGTATGCTGTTAAATCATCAGCCATTTCAAGAGTAAATGTAATTCATTAACTACAAGCATACACACACTACTATTTACCAGACTGAGAGGGTTTGGAGACTGGTCTAAAAACGTTACTCATCTAAAATGATCTCTTTTTCTTGTCCTACTGTGTGAATCTGACAATGCCAATAGAATGTCTGTTGAAATTACAGTCTGTTTAGCTGTGCAGGTGCACAAATGGGGCCGTATAAGACAGACTGAGAAGGCTTGACAGCTTCAACTAGATGTGAAAAAGTGCTGAAAAAAGGCTGATCATCACTGCATATTAGGTAGTGCAAGTTTCCAGAGATAGAACTGTTTATGATTATGAAGTATATTGTACATTTGCATGAGGATTGCACAGCTTCCCACTTCATTGGTTTGCTTGATTGGTGTCATGCCTCTTCTGAGATGAAATGCTAATCAGCAGATGTTATTAGAGTTGTGTAACAGCCAATGTAACATTGTGTTATTTCTTTAAATTGCACCTTCTTTTGCGAGCATTGTGGATTTTGGCTGTGCAAGCCTGGAAGTTGTTAAAAAAAAAAAAAAAAGTTTGTGCAGCTCTACAGTTGTTGGATACACTTAATCTGCCTCGGGTTCTTGTTTCCTCTCTTCCTGACAGAAATATGCCCATGTCCGTCAATCTCAGCGTGGCTCCAAGCCCTACTACACCTCCGCCATGTGGTGGTGTGGTGTGGTTCTCATGGGTGTCGGGGAACTGGGGAACTTTGCTGCCTACGGCTTTGCCCCAGCATCGCTCATAGCTCCGCTGGGCTGTGTGTCCGTTATTGGTAGGTGCAACCTTTTTCTCTCATTCATTATCCATGTGTGATAACAGGAAGAAATGTTGCTTCCTAGGGGAACAGAACAAAGATGTCTGCTTGACCCTGTCATAAATTTACCTCTTCAGCATTTATTGTATCTGCAGAGAAGCTGACAGCTTTTGTTTATAGAGTGAATATCTAAGAAAAAAAAACTTGCTGAATTCTTTAGTATTACAGAATGATTCTGTAGTACAGTATAGATAGTGCGTGTTTCCACTCTACTCTTATGTGATTTAGATATGGCTTCTGCTAATTTGTAGATGCATACAACAAAATGCAGCAACACCTTTTTCAAACAAAAGGCAGTGAAAATGAACTGCATCAGTTAGCTTCTGTATCTACGACATTAGTACTATTTCTGTCCTGTGTATCTAAGCTACACATCTGCCTGCACTGCCAAGGCTGTAAGGTCTTCACTTCATTCAGTGGAGTTTCTCAGGATTACACAAACATGTTTTACAGGAGCTTCAAACTGTTGCATTTTGCTTTTGCTTTCAGAGTACATTTAACAAATTTGACAACAGGAGAAGAACCTACAGTCACAGAAGGTTGGTGTCTAGGTGCATGTAGTGTTCTTTTACATTTCTAGCTTATATGCAGCATTGGACCCAGAAGATTAATCTGTACATTTCCACTCTTCAAATTTTCTAGGTGACTCAGGAAGTCCAATTTCTCCTGACATTATAAATCTAACAGCTCACTCCAGAAATAATCATTTTTTTACAGCCCACAGTGTGAACTAAAGATGTCATGAACCGAGCCAGATTCATTAGCCAGTCAAAACAAGGCCTGCCCGGTTGCTACAGCTGGCAGCTGCTTAGTGCAAACACTCTAAACACAGGTTAAATATTGAACAGGTTCACTTCTTTCCTCCCGCCACCCATCACTCCAGTGCGCTGGAGGTGGTGGTGAGTCATGGATATTAATGACAGCTATTACCCCAGCACTTTGAATGATTTTCCTATAGTCACGTCTTGTAAGTGGATGAATGGTTTGAATAAAGCACTAAACGAACCCACAAATCTTGTTAAGAAGGCTGCACCTCTTGTTCATTGTAATTTTGGGCGGTACTGTATTTGCCTCAGTGGGCAATTACTTACAAAATGCTTTCACTACAATAACAAAACTTTAGCACTGTGTTCTACTGAGAGCAGCAACATTTTGATGTTTTGTCATTGTTTAGAAATGTGGACTTTTTTCAAAAAAACCACAGATATCAACAATTACTGTGCTCATTTCAACGATACTATTATCATTATTATCCGTAGAAACAACAATGAATGCCAGGGGCTCGTCATTCATTGGAGTGTGTGAATATTATGTAGCTAAAGTAGATCTTCAGAGAGCATCTTGAAGAATTACTGCATAAGAGATGAAGAGGTGAAAGGAGGAGAAAGGAGAGGAAGATGTCTGCAAGCTTGACACAGTCTATCCTCATCAGAGCTAACAAGTGGAGCCGAGGGGAGGATGTGCAGGATCCCGTCTCTCATCGTGACTCCACCTCTCAACCTACACTCACTCAGACTATGCAAATGAGCAAACACACACACACACAAACCATGTGTGACTGATGTGTCAAACCACTCAGGTCTAGAGTATTTAGTCCACCAGAGATGCTCCTTTGGCTAACACATGCACATACCCCCCTCCTACTGTGCTTCTGTGCCTGTTTTCCAAGGGCTGTGTGAAGGCTCAGAGGGAGGTACAGACAGTGGGATGCCTTCACTGAGTAAACAAGAGGGAACTGAGTGGCTGGTTGGGTAGAAAAGGGCACAGTGAGGAGGTTTGATGCTGAAAGGCGAAGAGGGTTAGGTGAGACGAGGAAAAATATAGCAGAAAGGAGAGGACAGGATAAGTGTGCGAATAGAATAAGACAACAGGACGAGATATATATACAGAGTGGAAAGCAGAAGCTGAGGAGGAATGGGACAGGATCGGGAGAGCTGATGATGCTGCTGTCATCCGCCTGTCCCTGCATGTCACACTGGCACTCTGACGCTCCGTGGAGAGCAATTACTAGTGTCCTCGTCGACAGAGCCCAGCAGTCTCTATTAGGAATAGCAGCATCATCATCCCAAAAGCTGTTATATGGAGCAGAGCATCAGCTCTCTCTGTTAGATACCATGTAAATGCAAAAGGAGGGAGAGGAGAGAGGTGGAAATCAACAAAAATCTATCCATCCCACCCATCATTTATACGCCGTTTAATTCTCACTAGGGTCGCAGGGGGGCAGCGGACACCTGGACAGGTCATGAGTCTATCACAGGGCTACACATGGAGACAAATGAGCTCTCACATTCAAACTTGCAGACAATATAGATTCACTGATTAACCTCACTATGTTTTTGGACTGTGGGAGGAAGCCAGAGAACCCAGAGAGAACCCATGCTGCACGTGGAGAACATGCAAGCTCTACGCAGAAAGATCTCAGGCATCCAAACCGGGATGCAAAACAGGGATCTTCTAGCTGCAAGGTGATGGTGCTAACCACCGAGCCACTGTGCTCTACAAAAATCATAGTATGAAATTAATAGGAAAGGGACGCCCCGGAAGCTCACCGAGTTGAGCTATAGTGGTTGTAGGTTCGACTCACGACCCTTTGCTGCATGTCTCTCTCCATTCTTCTCCCCCCTTTCCTGTCTATCACTACTGCTCTAAAATAAAGGCAAAAGCCCAAAAAATATATATTTTAAAAAATAAGAAGAAGAAGAAAGAGTTGTTCACATCATTTTCATACTCCTCAAACCATCCAGTGATCCTACAGATGGGGTCATTCCTGGAAGAGACGACTCCCATCAGTATCTGTACTCCGCTTAATCCTCACTAGGGTAGCGGGAGGGCTGGAGGGCTGGAGCTTATCCCAGCTGACTTAGGGCGAAGGCAGGGGACACCCTGTACAGGTCGTCAGTCTATCACAACCAAGCACACTCAGATTCACACCTATGGACAATTTAAAATCACAGTTTTTGGACTGTGTGGGAGGAAGCCGGAGAACATGCAAACTCACAGAAAGAAAAAAAACTCCACGTCGAAAGATCCCAGTGCCTGCCCCCACCAGGGCATGAACCAGTGACCTTCTTGTTGCAAGGCAACAGTGCTACCAACTGTACCACCTTGCAGCCCTGTCAAGACTTAACTGTTTAGGATAGAGGTGATCATTCACAGCAACTTTATTGATTTCCTGTGATCCCCCTCTCTAAAATGACAAGTGAACCCAAACCACACCAGCAAGTGCCCCCCACAGCATTACAGAGCCACCAGATCCCCTCACTGCAAAGGTCAAGCATTCAGGCCTGGACCATTCACTTGGTGTTTGTCACACATGCACTCATGTATTTGTCAAGAACATGGTGAAACCATCTGAACACATCACTTTTTTCCTACATCTTTGTGTTTTTGCACCACTGAACTCTTAAATGGGCCTTCATCTTTGCAATGAGGGCTTTATACATTGCATGCCTACGATAATATCCCCCTCCATGTAAATGTCAACAGACAGCTTTTGCTGACATTCTGATCACGTCCTGCATTGACATGTTCAGTCACCTGAGGAAGAGTTGCTCTTCTGTTTTTTGTCCTGGCAACCACAATTTCCAACCCTGTTTACTGACGTCTTCCCCAAAGATCTAAAATGCAGACGTCACTTTAGTCACTGTTCCTATTAAAACACCTGCCAGTTGGACAGTCTTTGTGACTGAAGCTCCTGCCATCCATTCCCCATCAATGACCCATTTTTCAGTCACCTATATCTTTTCCTCTTTCCATCTTCACAAAGTCAGGATCAGCTGGGCTTGCTCAGCATTCGTCTACATGACTGGTTACCAAGTCCTTAAGTGTACCATGTAGTGCAGTTATGTGGAAGCATCTACATTTGCTATTTTTTCCACTCATTTAATCAGGTTTTCCTTTAATTTGTCACCCGTCTGTATATCTACATGTGTAGTTCTTACATTAGAGCTTCTCTGGGAGATGAAAGCGAGACTTTTGCTGCTTTCATGTGTTTGTGTCAGATTTGTGTGGTGAACGAATCTTTGACTCTGTGTGTTTTCCCACAGGGAGCTTTCCATTACTACATATCTGAAAGAGCATGTATAGAGTTAGCACTGATCTGATCTGATGCACACACACACACCTACATAAACGCACAGGAGCAGTGACAGAACTGTGTACCCCAGAGGTTCCTGTTGCCACATTTCTCATTTTATCAAGCCGTGTGAATCTCACTTTGTATGGAGTTGCTATGGTTACTTGTTAGATCCAGCTGGTCCCAGAGGCAAAAGACGAGTCCTAAACGTGTGTGCGAACATGCTGGCAGTATGAAATATTTAACAACTAACTTTCATCAGAATATTAAGGAGAGTCTTTGCAAACTTTCAATTTGATTGAAGTGTTCTCGCAGCACTACGCGCATCTGTGCCTTGTTGTTTCAGAGGACTTGTGTGACATTGATCAGCATCTTTATCGTTAGACACAATGAGCATACTTAAAAGGAACTTCTGTGTAAAATCATTCTCTTTAAATGTATTTTTGTTTACTGTGAAGCTTTTCTTGGTTTGGGTTCAGTGTTAATTAAAATCTCGCTGTTGAGAGCATTCGCAAATAAAACTGCAACTGTGTCTGGGTTTAACATCCATGTGAATAACCTGTCTGTCATGCCACAGCACCACAGTAATCCCATGTGTGCCACGCTGAGTGTCTCTGACATATTGAGCTGTTTATGCTCTGTAGCTAATCTCCTTATGATGGTGGCAGAGCCTGTGCACCAACTCAAATGGCCTGTCTGGATGTTTTTCGGTATTATACAGTAATTTCTCCGTTCAGTTTGCCCATTTCTGTCTGCATGCCGTCACCTGCTCACCCATCTGTGTGGCTGGCTGGCAGCACTGTCCCACGTCTTCCAGCAAACACAACCACAGCTGGCACGGCTGTGATATTGATGAAATGTCTAACAATATAACGCCAAACAAATTATGCAAAATGAGCTTTTTGGTGGTGTTGTTAAGTGTTGAAGACCTCTAACACAGCAGCCACATTGTGTTATGTAAACTGACCTCACTGTGACAGGCTGCTGTCACTTGCAAATCTATTTGCCTCGCTGTCCACCGCCTGTTTATCTTGTAGTTTGCGTCGCTGTCTCGGGCAGTTAGTCTGCCTTGTGTGGCCATCCATCTGTGTGTCTGCCTGTTTATTGGCATGTCTGTGTCTCTGCATGCATATCTGCCTGTCTCGCTATTCGTCTCTGTGACAGCCAAATGCTGTGTGTTTATTCATCTCCCATTGGTTCGGTGCATATCCCGGGGAAACATTAAGACTGAGACTAATCTGAGGCTTAGCTCATGTGAAACTGATTGCTTTTCAGCGGTGCAATTTTTGACAATGATATTGATGAATGACTTCATGCAAAATGTGCCATGGAGTAGCATTTTGGCATAATTTGATGCTGGTGTTATGAAGTGCTAATGTGTTCCATTTATCAAAGCTGGCTGACAGATTTTTATCACGCTGATCAATAAAAACATGTTAAGCAATGTGAATGTTTTATGTGGACATGCGGTTTTAGCATATTGTCAGTGTGTGCTTATGTGCATGATTGTGTGTATCTAATTGCATGTAATTTGTGTAAACATGCCAGATAAATGACAAACTACATGGTAGTCTCACATTGCATGCTGCATGGCAAATTCTGATTACTCCTCATCCAGTTGTATGTTTGCAGTCAGCTGTGCAGTCTGTGTGCAACACTACTGATGTCATTTTTATTAAGTCAGTATTCCCTCAAGTGTCTGACCTTGCATGTGATTAAACTGCAATGTTGCAACAAAAAAAAAAATCAATCCAGAACAAGAGGTCACAGAAAAAAATGGATAGACATTCGTTATGTTTTCTTTGTCAGGAGATAAGCATTGAATAGAAAGTTATTATTCTTAAGGCATATTACATTCTCTCATATTGTATCTTTACTTGGTAAATGTGCTTTACAGTATACAGTGTGGCAATATAGCCGTGTTAGAGTTCAGATTGATTCCAGGAGGCAGAATGTGTTGAGTGGTGGTTAAACTAACAGAAATGTATTTTCATTTCTCAGCCAGCGCTGTCATATCTGTGGTTTTCCTCAAGGAGACGGTGCGTGCCTCTGACATTGTTGGTAAGCAAACACTCACTTCGGATCATAGCACTTGAGGACATGAGCGTCCTCTGAGACTGTTGATTTGATTTGAGAAGAACATCTCATACTTCATAAATATCAAACTGACTTCACATATAATCCAGTGAAGATACAAAAAAAAAAAGTCCCGTGACAGAGAAAACATGCTGTTTTTTAGTTTAAAAGTGATCTACTAGCTAAAAAGTCTAATTGTGTTGTTTTTCTGGCATTGGAAAGAAAAAGGTGCACTCCGCCCAGACCTATCCTATTATGTTGTTTTATGAAAAGCTATTGTTTGCCATAACAACTTGGCGTGATTGTGATGGCCGTCACAATGACGACCATTACAACTGTTGGATTAGAAATTCATATCAGCACCACACAGCTTTGTGCATTGTTAGTATTCCGGAAAAATCAGCTACCCTTTTTTTTTTTTTTTTTTTTACTATTGTTGTTATTGTTTTGTTATTGCTGGATGGCATAATCAGCCACAGATTGGAAACATTTAACTGTATGAATTTTTAAATTATAAATGGGAAAGTCACTGGGAGCACACTCTGTTCAGCAGTACTCTGTGTGCTGTGGGTTATACAAGCCAACACAGAGAATAAAATGCAAAAAATATTCATTAAAATGACAAGAAATAGTACCATGGCTTGTGGTAATGTGTGGATGAATTGGGTAAATTCTGAAGGTTGTTTCTTTTGTACACTACAAAGCCACTGTAATCTCATTTTTTTTGAGGTAGTTCATTTTTGTGTCAGAATTTCTAAGCACACACTGTATATGTGAGGTATAATGCATTTTTAACTGAAGGTGCTTGGCAAGATAAATAGGTATATTTTGGAAAATGGCTTTATTAGAGAAAGAAACATTTGCACCATTAAAACAGCAGTGTCCTCTTTATCCTTTTAGGAGCAGATCTATCGCCAATTACTAAATGAATGTTGCTGTACAATAGGGCCAGCTTCAGTTAAAGGAATGAAGGATTTAAGTATACATCACCACAGTCAACAACTACACTAATTGTTTTCTATCTTTTTCAGTGGAAGAGGTGTCACAAAACACCTTTATTTAAGATGACTATGACATTTAAAAATGTATCTGTCATGTATCTGTCACATTTTACAACGTTTTAGTGCAGGAAACAACTTAAATTTTGCAGTTGATATCGCTTCTCTACGGAGAGCGTTATGTTTGCAGTCGTCCATAAACTGAGAACTGTGCCTGTTTTGAACTTTTTAGTAAGTGGAGAGTCAGTGGATCTTTCAAACTAATATAAAAGAAACTGCAATCAGCACGGCAATCTCACCACTTCGCTTCTTTTCTTTTATAGGTGGCACGCTGGCAATAACAGGAACATACCTCCTGGTGACCTTTGCCCCCCACACCTCCACACACATCACAGCCCATCTGGTCCAGTACTATGCCGTCAGCTGGCACTTCCTGCTCTACCTTGTGCGTATGCTTTGACACTTTCCTAAGTCCAGTAATACTGATTATGAAAGTATTGGCATAAATAGTTTTGTTTTTTTGTTTTTTTTCCAATTAACTCCATTCAAAGGGAGGGAAAGAAAAAAATGAAATGCAGCTGAAATCCCAGACTGACTCTGCAACTTTGAGATCTGTTATAAGAGTTCTTCTTCATGTTGCTGAAGGTCGCTCTTTGTCTTCTGGCTTGTGTGTTTGTGCTTGACGCCCTGCTGCCCGATGAATTTGGGTCAAATGCCTACCTGATAGTGAGGTGTAAAAAGAATCTGAACACTTTTGCAAACTTCTGCGTATCTGTTTCCTTGGATTTACTGGTTGCATGTCAAACTGGGTTACTGTATAATCACATGTGTAGCAGCGACACCACTATTCTTAAACAGTGTACAGACACCAGCTCCTGTCCTGCCTGTGGTTCTCTTATCCCAGCCTTTAACCTCCCCATGGAGACAAGCAGGACAAGGACTACTCTTCAGGGTTAATTAAGGCATTAATGTTTTATTATTCCTTCAAGAGTACAGTACAGTTGATGGAAAATGTGACCTCAGAGAGTCACGTAATTAATCTTTGCACTTATAGAAGATCTCCTCCTTTGCCTCTTCTTCGGTCTCACTTCTCTTGTGTTTCATGAAAGTTGTGAAGTGAGTCCTTTAAAGCGTATATCGTCTATGTTTCTGTAGTATATAAAAAATAATCCTCCACTTCATGATCTTCAAGTGTATCAGCACTCATCCATTTACTCTTCTCGTCTAGCATTGCCTCAGGCAGCAATGGCATAAACATAGCTGTTGCCATAGTGACCAATCTGAAGAAAAGTACAGAGGTGAATCAAACTGGTGTTCTTTTTTTTTTTTTTTTTCAAAAACCTACTCATCACGAAAAATGTAAATGTTGGCTCAAAATGTTAACACTAGTCTTGGTTAAAAACAATCCTTAGATGTTTTAAAAGGAGCATTTCTGCAGCAGGAGGTTGGATCCTTCTGCTTCTCCGATGCTGCCTGCACTCTAATGCACTGTGCTCTCCACCTTTCAGAATAAACCTCTCCAGTAGAAATACAATGCTTTGTGCAATTCAAGATCAAGGAGAAACAAGAAGCACTGTTTTTGTCTTTGAAAGTGTGACACCTGAGACCTACTAGGCTCCACAGCCAATTGCATCTCTGATATCGATGTGGGTTTTTTTTTTTCATTTTATACAACATTTTGCATCATAATATCCCACAGAAACAAAGTCACTCTTTAAGTAATAATTGTTGTTGTTTTTAGGAAGGTCTTACCAAATTGTGAATATTATTTACTGTTTACTAGTTGTCTGCACATAATCCATCACACCAAGCAGTGATGGATCTAAAATGATAGCAGCTAGCAGTGCCTCAGAGGTGCTAGGCAGTGGTGTAAACAGTGAATGTGTGCTTCGGGTAGCAGTGCCATCATTATTCAGGGCACAGCATTTCACTCAACCATATTCCAGATTCCGCTCTTGAATCTAGTCCTATTTACTGAGCCAGTGCAAACACACAAAAAAGACCAAAACAGCTACTGCAAGAAAAACAAAAAGAGAAATGTTCATACAGATATTAGGCAAATACAGATGGATAGAGAGACAGGTATTTTTAAATTGAGATGGTCCTGCTGCCTCTGTCTGCAGTGGTTAATGGTGTGTAAAAGGGTACGCTGCTTTTCCATTGTAGGTAGTGTGTTTGTGGATGCTCATCAGCCTGCAGAGGATGGCCTCCAACAAGTCTGAGATTAACTGTAGTTGGTGATTAATCAGAGGAAATGAAATACTCATTTCTGACTTCTCATTATTTCCAGAGGTCATACTATTATCCATTGTTTTCATCTGGAGGGACTGTTTGTTGTCAGTGCTGTGTGCCACAAATGGTCCAGGTCTTTGTTAATTCACTTTCAAAAAAGGAATAATTACATTTTGAAAGAAGCTCTGTATTTAACATATATTCTGAGACATCGGGATGATATTGAGAGGTATTTAAAGGTCAGCTTGCCCTTTTCCCTCAATTCTGCTATTGTACTCCTTTCTTATGATCCGTCCATTAAAGCTGTGTGGTGTTATCAGAGGTCCTTGAACATCTGAACGCTATTAGACTCACAAGGACAGCCCCAGGCTCTTCTCATTAAAGACCAGCAATTAATTTCATTTTTCTGCCACAGTCATTTGTTTCAATTAAAGTGTGCTGCTCAGTGGCTGCATACTGCACCTTGCCATACAGATAAGACAGCGTGTAAAAGTACAATTCAAGTGCAATTCAGATTTTCATTTTTTGTGCAAAGTGTGAGGAAATCTGCATTAATGATTTGTGTAATGCTCTCCTGCTCTTTTTCTACAGTTTATAGAGGTCATCATCTTTTGCATCCTGCTCTATCTGTATAAGAGGAGGAATGTGAAGCACATCGTCATTGTGATGCTCCTGGTGGCCCTGCTCGGTAGGAACAAGTGGAAGCTGCCTAATTGAGGGCAGAGGTTGTGGAATAAGCCACTGTAGGTGGTCAGAGGTTGCTTTGTTGCCTGGCTACCAAAAATGTACCTATGCTCTGTTATCATTGCTGTAAAGAGCTGAGCATACAGGAGTGAAAGAAAATAATGGTAACTCAAATGAACCGCCTCCACAAATCAGCATCAACCAGTCAGGAAGTTCTTCAACGTGACAAGTTGTGAAGCTAAATGTTAAAGTGATCTGTTGCTTCTGTGTTGCTGCAGCCTCTCTGACAGTCATCTCCGTCAAAGCTGTGTCAGGGATGATCACGGAGTCGATAAAAGGCCAGCTGCAGCTCATCTACCCCATCTTCTATGTCATGCTTGTCGTCATGGTCGCCTCTTGTGCCTTCCAGATCAAGTTAGTCAAGGTTTTCTCTCTCCACTTTTGTGTTCTTCTTTTGTCTTTTTTTTGGCTTGTTCAGCCTCTCATTTTATTGCTCAAATCCCTCGTGTTCACCACAGGCTAGATGTGATTGTGGTTTTTCAGCTCCTGAACAAACTGAAGAAAATTACATATTGGACATGGTGACACTGTACCTGCAGCACACCTACAGTATTATGATGGATGAATAGGCTGCTGCTTAGTGTCTCTGTAACCAAGGCCATTGTATTCACTGCACCTCTCAAATCATGTTTCTTCTCTCTCCACAGATTTCTCAATCAGGCAATGAAAATGTTTGATGCCACAGAGGTGGTTCCTATCAACTTTGTGTTTTTCACCGCAAGTGCCATTGTTGCAGGTATGCCCAACATGAGGCTGTCACTCTCTGTGGGTTAATCCTTCCTTTTTAAAGGATGATTCAATGATAATCAGTATTTTTCTTGGTCAACAAACCAATGAAAAGACCAAAACATGACCTGATCCAAAACCACTGTGGTCCAAACACTCTTACAAACACATCATTTAGACACACTGTTGTACTATGTGACTTTTTCTTTTATAGTCTTGAGCACCGCCTGTTTATTTTGAGTGAATATATTGTCCTGGTGCCACAAATACTCACCAGCAAGCCAACTACATATTAGTCTGTGGCTGAAAGTCTCCTACAAATGCATAATTTATTCATGTTGGTTTGCCAAAACTACAGTGTTTTTGGAAATTACTGAGCCTTTTTTCAACAAGACTATAAGCCATGCTACTGTTCTGAATGCTACTGCTGTCATTTAAAACTACAGTGCCAATATGCTGATGTTTAGTTATTTTAATGTTGAGCATCTTTGTGTAGCATGCTTATTACCATTAAACATTATGTACCTCTGAGGCTGATAGGAATAACATTATTTTACATCTTTATAGGTATGTAATAGCCTACTATAGTATTGTGTTATTGTTTACATATTATTAGTAATTTCAAGGACATTTTCTTGAACAAATTATGCAATTTAGTAATCAATGCAAGAAAAATACTAGACAGCCCACACTTAGAATTGAATTCATTCATACAAATAAATTGCTTTTTTTTTGTTTTTTTTTCAAGGGCATGCCTGTTTTTAATTTGTGACTAATTCTATAACATTTTTACTTTAAACTTCTATGAAATTATTAGGAAAACAAAACCCACAAACTGGGTTGGCAAGTCAGAAAGTATTGTCACGTGATAAAAAAAATAAAGACTAATGCAAATGTATCTACGGTGATCATATTTCATCCTGACACAAACTCTTTTCAGTAAGAGAAGCAGATTTTCTGATGAAGTTTTGCTGCAAAACTGCAATTACTGCAATCAATTCATGATGCAACACAGTTTAACATACACACAATAGACGATAAAGGTGGTGATTCACTCCTCTTAACCACTTTGGAGTCCTTGTTCAACAAAAGCCGACCCAAAGTATTTATAGCGTGTGTGTGTTCTGCCAGGTCAGGTTTTTGTTATCCTGTCAGTAATAGCCATGCAAAAAAAAACAAAAAAACAAGAGCAGCTATCTCAAAAGCATTTTGGTCTTGAAGGGAAAATGCAAAAACGCTGTCACGGTTTAAAACCGTTTTTTGTCAATTGACCTCACTTTGCTAATTCCATTTTCTTGTTTGCTCTTTTTATACTGGATGAATTGCCTAACTGCAAAGACATGACATCATCTCAAGTTATTTCCAGTGCGGCTTCAGCAGAGTGTAATAACGTCAAGTGTCCCAGCAGTCCAAAACATCATCTTTTGGCATCAAGGTCTTAGAACAACCTTTTTCCACTAGTTTGCACTGACGTCTTATACATACAGGGAGAAATCCATCATGGAGGAGGCAGAGCCGTGAGATGTGGGGTGTTGTGAGTTACTCTCACCTTTTCAGAAAATTTCCAGCTCTGATATTGCTCTTGGTATTACTATTGCTCTTTCCGCCTACACAAATAACCAACAATTGACTGCACTGAACAACAAATTGCTGATGTATTACATAGAGCGGTGTGAGAACATCCGGGGGTGGACTTCTCCTTTAAGATTAGTTTAGTTGCACATTGAAGAAAAATTATTGTTTTGGTCCTAACCCAGAAATGGTCAGTGCAGGAAAGTGAAAATATGGTCTGTTCTGTGCCAACCTTGGCCTTGTTTAACATCTAATAAGAGGAAAACGTTTTCCATTGGACACTTGCAGTATCAGTGATCCTGTACAGTGCGTGTTCTGCTACTGATCTATAAAAAGTGCCCCTTTCAGCTCATCATGAAATTCTTCAGTTATCCCAGTCTAACATTTGCTCAGGATTTTCAGGGCTGTGTTTCACAAACAAACTAAGCACTTGAGATAATCTCCATGTTCTGTTACTCTCTCACAAGTGAAATGAATTTTAATGTGCTTCTCTGTTTTTCAGGGATAGTATTTTACCAGGAATTTGAGGGCTTGGCCTTACTGAACATTTTTATGTTCCTGTTTGGGTAAGTGTTCAAAAACTTATCAGTCAATGCAGAATATCAAAATGTGATATTTATTGTAATATGGTGTCAATCTTCCCTGAAACTCTTTTCCAGTTGTTTGCTATCCTTTCTTGGAGTTTTCCTGATAGCCCGAAACAGGCCAAAGATAAAGCAACAAGATCGGAATTTTATTGCAATGGATAGGATCCCTGGTATGTTATTCAGCAGCTTTTAATCAGCTCTCTTCACAATACAATACATTGCCTAATGACCTGTTTGTATTGAGTATGGGCCATTGATTACCATGTAGTGACAGAATCACTCTAGCAGCAGTGACCCTAAATTCATCTGACTGCTAATGTCTGCAGCACTGGCAGCAGGGTCCATTTAATGAGCTGTGCTGTCCGTGTTCACAGGGAGAAGGCACACAGACAAAGTGCAGCCTGAGGCAAAGACTCCAACATACGGATCACTGGCAGCCAAACTCATGTGCAACAGAGCTGGCCAAACAGACGATTCATAGGACCTGCTCCATCTGTTGGGACTGTCATTTTTGTGAATTTGTGTGCGTGTGCCTGCCTCTTCCTGGGTTCTTCAATAAAAACTCTATTTATAGAAAGAAATAAAAGGCATTGATTCAAACCAGTGCCAGCTGAGCACCAGTATCAGTGGACATATAGATGTTAGATTTTGTGGCCAAAGTGGCAAACACCTTCTTTGAAAAGCTCTATTTATTCATGGAAATAAATCTACTTGTGTGTTTATAATATATTTGACACAGTTATCAGTAATACCTCATGACTCTAAAATGAGATGAAACACCTCAGGATCAAAGTTCAATATCAGATGCCTCGCTAGCCACTTTTAAGTGTAGAGTAGTAGTAAAACAAAAAAGGTCCAGGAAGCCACTGTGACAAATGCCTTTCAATGTATCATATGTAAAATAATTACCAAAAAATCTGGTCTGTGTGTGTTCAGTTGTCAATAAACAAGGACAAAACATGCTTCAACAGACTAAAGATTTCATGCCATACAGCAAAACAAGTGCACTACTGCCCTCTAATGGTGAGGGAGAGGTCCAGATGACCAGACAGTTTTGTACATGTACCGTGTTGATCTGATGTGATGTGAATTCACTTTATTCAGAATGACTGAGGTGTCTTAGTACCTTTTTTGTTTTTTTGTTTTTTACTTTTGTCACTTTAGTGAAAGTCATTCACATTGATAATTCAGAGTTTAGTTTTTGAAATACACCAGTGTGTATCACTCTGAAACACGTTTCCAAGGACTTCAAATAAAACTTGTCTTTAAACGCACTAATGCACAGCCTGACCGCCCATCTTCACCTCAAATAAACCTTAGACTACATACTCAACTGAACTGCTACCAAACTCTAGTGTTGCTAAGCAACAAAACTCTTATCTGCCTCCTACACATTATGGGATGTGTGGGAAACCACTGTTGGTGCCTGTGTAGCTATAATAAGAAAGAATGTTGAAGTATCAGCTGTTCAATGCATTTACTTTAAAAGAGCCAGGCCTTAATGTGCACCTCTGGTTAAGCTGTAAAGTTTGCTGAAACACTTCGGTGGTTTTTTACAAGTTAATGGCACCAGTCATTTTCCATAGACATATTCCGTCAAGTACAGTATAGGTATTTTATTAACTTATGTTCAACCAAAACCTCTTCAGTGCAGTGATATTTTTAGACAAACTGAGGCATGTCTGAAATTTCAAAACCCACTAATTTGCCTTGTCAAAGAATGAAACGTCATGACGATCATAAATACATCAGCGGCACGATGTAAACGGAATATAGAGGGATGTAAAATAAATCATAAATTAATTCCTTTTGTTCATCCAACTGATAAAAAACATAGCTTATCTTAATCTAACTATAACCAAGGCTGTCATTCATTTCTATTTGTGGAGCATCCCTCTTACAAAGGCATTGATATGAAAACAGAAGACGACAGACTCTATTCACCTGAAACAATGAGGATGTCTCTACACAGAGTATATAAAAAAAAAAAAAAAACTACATCACCAGGTAGCGTGTGGTCATGCCCCATGCTTGTCTTTAGCCAAGGCACATGGTCTCTATCAGTTCACTTAATGAATGAAGTATCAAGCGATTTTATTGTCTCTGCAATGCAAAGGTCTTGGCATCAACTCACTTCATTAACCTAGAATTGACAGTTTTTTTGGAATTAATTTCTGCACTAGTTCAGATGTTTCAATCAGACCTCTATGTTGATCTTAGCAAAGCGGTAGTGCAGGGAGGTGGGGTTGCGCAGCAGCAGCTTTCCTCTGTGTTCCACTGGCTGGTTGAGGAGGGTATTGAGGAGACCAGCCACACTGACAAACCCAAGAGCCTCCCCGCAGCCTGACGACAGAGAGAAGTCACCCTGAGTGATCCAGCCAAGAGTCACCCGGGAGCAGTGAGAGGTGACACTGGGCAGAGGATCCGGCCACAGCCCCAAGATGAGGTCTGAAGAAGCCTGGAAGGATGAATTAAGGTCTTCAGATGTGGTGGGGTCTGGGTCGGAAGCAGAGGGGAGCTCTGAGCCTTTACATTCAGGCTTATCAGAGGATAAAGAAGACGTGGTAGCTTTCTTGGGGTCCTTCTGGTGTTTTATTCTGCTTTTAAAGTGGTCTCTGTGTGGGGGCTCCTGGGGCCCACTGTTTCCTAGCTCTTTGCCCAGCAGCTTCAGGTCCTCTGTGGTTGGCACACACAGCATGGCATGGAACTCCGGTTTGCCTTTCGAAAACAGCGATAGACGCACCCACACCAGACTCATCCCATGTGCTGCAAGAAACGACATCACAGCTGAGCGGCTGAGAGGCGGCACCTCCCCGACACGGCACAGCCTCTGACCTTTGGATGTTGTGGGTCTGCACCAACCAGACAGCAGCCTCAGAGACTTTCTGTCCCTAGGAAGCAAAAAATAACCATTTAGATGGAATGAATAATAATCTAAGGAAAATTTGCACAGTCATTGGCCCCATTAGGCACCCTGAGACACATAAAATTTTGTTGAAGAACATTTTTTAATTCCTAATGCTGAAAACTAAAGGCAGCCAATGGACGGTAAAAATCAATCCAATTTTTTTCTCATAAAGTCTGTCATTACTCAAAGCTTATGTGATGGTTTTATGAGGATAGATGCAACTCTTCCCCTACACTAATCTCTGTGATGTATTGCTGCAATTTAAAGCTGGATGTACTTTGGGGATTCTCATCAGGGACATTATGATGAGAGGGGGCAGACCGGAGACACGGCATGCATCAAGCCTTTCAAAAGCTGCGCTGGTCTCTCTTAATAAAAAAGAGGAAAGAAGTAAGTGATGAATTGGAGCCCCAAGGCCCCAAAAACAGTGCTTTCATACATTCCTGCTCAAGGGACCTTTAAAAGTCAGCTGCTTTAATATTGTTGGAAGTGTGATTTAGATGTGTAGGATGAAGGGACCTTGGAGTAAACCTGCAGCGGGTGTGTGCTTTTAGTCAGTCCTGATAAAAGTTTATTTTCACAATAAGACAAGAGAGAATAAAAAAGGAATGAATCTCAAGTGTAAATCACAAACAAGACTATAAAAGAGGCAAAGCCAAACACTTACCTCAGTACAGTGAAACGGCTCAGAGGCTTTGTCAGAGTGATATCTTGTTGTGATGTCATCTCCTCCTCCATCACAGTGTCAGTCTGCGTTGTGGTTTGGATCTTGCTGTCTCCTTTCCTTTCCTCTCCTCCATCTCTCGTGAGGAGCTCCCACTCCTCTGCCAGCTGTTGCCATGGGCAACAGAAAGGAGCCAGACAGCCATGTTTAATGTAATTGGTCCTTTTGGCAGGCGGATGCCTGTGAAAGAGGTCGAAAGGTCAAACTCTTGTCAGACCATTGGGGCAACCCTGGCAATTTGTTAAGACATCGTGACTGCAGTGGATAGTAGAGGATGAGCAACCTTATTACCATCTCATCTGCATCGTGAGAAAGATATGAATTATGGAAATTAACAGAGGTCAGAGCCGCAAGTGCTTCCCCCTATCAAAACCTCTAATCTACTGACAATCACACCACTTACTTCTGTTGATTATGGAATAATATCATCTCCTTGCACATGATTGTACAATCACACAGTAACAGAGCACAACGAAGCATTTTTAGTTCTAATATAGTCTCATTATCACCTTACTTAGCGTTTATTTAACTGAAAATAATTCCCCCTGCAGTTTAAGGGATAATTTTAAGTTTGTCAACAGATAATTAAAATATACTGGGAAAAACACTACCATCAGTAAAATACATTTTTATACTGAGAGCAAGTTCCTAAACTTCAGTTTCTATCTGCAGCTTGACATTCTGCTTATATGCCAGAATAGTATTACAAGATACACAAAAGCTTTGGCAGTCAAGATATCCCAGCTGAAAACAGTTCTCAGTGTGTTCCTGATAATAGCGTCATACACAACATTACTGTTTTGCTTTTTTTTCTGCTCAGTCTTCAGCTGACCTTTTGAACTTGTCCAGGAGCTCAGCCTCCTGCTCCTCCTGAAAACGAATGCCTGCAGGGCAGTCTGGATAATCGTGGGGAAAGTGGGGCGCCGCTTTATTTTGAGAGTGTTTCAGACTCATGTTTAGCCCACCTATGCGAACTCCTCTGTACACCTGGAGAAGGGAGAAAACAAGGCAGGAAAGGGTTGGATTTTAGAGGACTTGGCAAATAAAACCAACCTGAGGGCTTCTAGTCTGCCTTTATATTTCAATGTACATTTAACATTTTCACAGCGCTTGTACAAACAAAATGAAATTGCCCCAAAACATGGATGAGACAACCACATAATTGAAAACATCTTTCACAGTTACAAACATCCACTGTGTACATGCATACTCATCTTATTCCAAACTATAAAGTGAAAGCCCAGGAAACTTATATTTTTTGTTCTGATAAAAATCCTTATATCAAGATCATCATTTCTCAATTGTTTTACACCTCTATAAGCTATTAGACTATGTATACTGGACAGCTCAAGCAGGCATCACGATAACTGACATTATATACCTAAATCTCATCAATATACGTCAGCATTACAATATGAGAATGCATGAGAATACGCTTAAGTACTACAAAAAATATCAAGTAGAATTTTTGATGACCTATTTTATTTCTTCGAATGTATAAATGTATGTTTTCTGGGGTCACAAAAAGTTCAAGAAGAAATAACAGCTTGTAAGGATTATTAGTGATAATAGACGGCAAATCATCCTGATGAAAATGATGAAACAGATGGAGAGAGGATGAAAAAGAAATGTCTGTACAGCAGTTTTCCAGAGGGGATTCCTGAAGGGTTGCTACATCACACACTATTTAATGGACCTAATGAACTGCCACAGTACACGGAGTAGGTTACAAGCACAAAAGACTGCAGTTTCTGACTGTATCAGGGAAAATCCCTGGACTCCTTGCTACCATGGTTACCATATTATTGACATAAGTATCTGAATTGCTTATACAGACTGGTTATGAGATTGCTTCCTGAAGAGTTCACGATCAGCAAATGAATGTTTCCACAGTTTTGCTTTTGAATATATGCTAACGTCATACATATAGTCCACACATTAAAACCACAACAGGTGAAGTGAATATGGTTGATTATCTCATTATAATAGCACCTGTCAAAGCGTAGGATATATCAGGTCCCAGCTGTTGCTAACATCTGAGTTTTTTTTTGCTGTTTTGGAGACAATTTTCACACCGTCCCAACCCATATACACCACAATAACTAGACAAAAATAACCAAACTGAACTGTGGGAAACCACCCAAGCCTTTAGTACTACTATGAAAAAAAAAGATAACACAATCATATGCAAGCACTGCTCATGCTACCTACCAGTGGCACCCAGAAGGCCATGCCCCAGCCTTTAGGAAGCAGCAGGTCCCATCCAGCACCCCAGGAGTTCATCTCATGTCCCACCTGCTTGCCAGACTGATGAAGGAGCAGAATGGGGA